AGTTAAAGTAAATTTTATATATATAATAATAATATATTATAAAATATTATATAAAATAAATAATAAATATATTATTAGAAAATATCTAATTATATATATATAACAATCCCCCACTTATTTTCTAATAATATTATTAAGTATACTGGTATTGCATAATGCATATCCAAAAGTGGCCAAGGCTTGAACCTTTGGATTGAATATGAATTACTAAGGAAACATATTCACATTATACATGGGCTCAAAGTTCCACCATAGCAAGTGCGTTTATTAAATAATTAAAGGGCCTTACGCTAATCCTGTTCTAGCAAGTACTCTAAGATTAACCGGTGTAATCTATAGAAGGCGGCCTCTGACCTTCCTACTTGCATAGGTAGACTCATCAAGAATGCTCACAACTTCCATTCCACTAAAATTAGCTATGAGTCTATTGAGAACTTTAATGTTCAACCTCCTTTGTTGTGAATAAATAGTGTACTTGTTTAGGTAAAGGACTTTAAAGGAATAGTTTTGTTTATTTTATTACCCCCACTATTCCTTAAATAATTTAGTACACTAAAATGTAGCACCTCGTGCTTACATTTCTTGAGTAATTTATGAGTGAATTGCCATTAAACTTCTATGCACTTGATTTTTGATTAAAGACATGTCTTCATATCAACATCAAGGTGATAAAGTTGGTTTCAAACATGATCACTCCACCATTACCGGTAAAAGTCCCATACCTCTCCAAATTTTACTTAACTTTTCTCCATTTAAAGGTTTTGTTAAGGGGTCAGCCAACATTTGCTCGGTAGGTGGATATTCTACCTCTACCCTCCTTTTTTTTCACAACACTTCTTACATAATTATATCTCATAGCAATATGTCTGCTATTATTAGATAACCTTTCATTTTTAGCATTGTGAATTGCAGCTTGATTATCACAAAATAATGTGATGGGTCCTCTTGGTATTTCCACAAAAGGAATACCTTTTAGGAATCTCCTTAACCATAAAATTTCTTTTGATGCCAATGACATGGCAACATACTCAAATTCCAGAAAAGACAAAGCCACACACTTTTGTCTTTTAGAGGACCAAGAAACAATGGATCCACCAATAGTAAATAACCATCCACTTGTTGATTTTGAATTTTTCTTATCAGATGCCCAATTAGCATCACTGTAACACTTTAAGACAAAAGTAGAGAAATTATAATGCAAGCCATAATTCAAAGTATATTTCAAATATCTCATAACTCTACTAATCTCAGTCCAATGCTCAATACTAGGATTACTAGTAAATCTACTCAAAATTCCAACAGCACATGCAATATCAGGTCTAGTATAATTCATGGAATACATTAAACTACCAATGATTTTAGCATACTCCTTTTGATTAATAGGCTCACTTTGATTAGGAATTAATTTAACATGTGGATCAATTGGAGCTTTACTAGGCTTACAATCAAAATAACCAAATTTTCTTAATAATTTCTCAACATAATGTGATTGAGTCAAAATATATTTACCATCCTTTTTAATAACTTTAACTCCTAAAATGACATCTACTGGACCTAAATCCTTTATGTCAAATACTGGGGTTAAGTAATTTTTAGTCTCATTAATACAATGCATGTTAGAACCAAAAATTAATAAATCATCAACATAAAGTGTAATAAGAACTTTATAATTACTAGTAACCTTGGTAAAAACACAATTTTCTACTTTACTACATTTAAAACCAAACTTCCTTATCTCCTTTTCAAATTTCTTATACCATTGCCTAGGTGCTTGCTTAAGTCCATAAAGTGATTTGTTTAGTTTACATACCTTATCTTCTTGACCTTGCACTATGTATCCCTTGGGTTCATGAATGCAGATTTCCTCATCAAGTTCTCCATTCAAAAATGTTGTCTTCACGTCCATTTGATTTATCTCAAGATTATAAATGGATGCAATGGCAAACATAATTCTAATAGAAGTAAATCTAGTCACTGGAGAAAATGTCTCAAAATAATCCAACCCTTCTTTTTGACTAAAACCTTTGGCTACTAATCTTGCTTTATATTTATCAATACTTCCATCTGTTTTTAATTTCTTTCTCAAAACCCACTTGCAGCCAATAGGTTTAGTATTAGGAGGAAGATCAACCAAAATCCATGTATTATTATCATGAATAGACTTTATCTCATCATACATGGCTTTTTTCCATAAGGAAGCATCTAGTAAGGCCATGGCTTCGTTAAAATTTCTTGGGTCCTCTTCCAAAGAGTATGTAAACATACCAGGACCAAGATCCTTTTCAATTCTTTGTCTTTTACTTCTTCTTAATTCCGGTTCCTCCTCCTTTTTGTTCTCATATTCTCAGTTGGGGACATGACCCATGTGACTAGAATTGCTTTCAACTTTTTGGTAAGCATTGCTTTCACCTTTTTGGTTGGAAGCATTTTCACGCAAGTCATCACCCATGTGACTATTATCAAGCTTTTGACCATTTAAACAATTAGAATAAGACAAAATAGTTGTACCAACATCTTCCACATGCTTATTGTGTGCAAAAGAATTAAATTTCAATTCATTTGATAAATCCTTTTCTAATTCTAAATTACTAGCATCTTTAATAGTTAAATGCTCAAAATAAATTGCATGAATAGCCTCAAAAGCACTATTTGTTTTCAAATTAAGAAATCTATATGCTTTACTATGCAATGAATAACCAATAAAAATTGATTTTATAGCCTTACTACCAATTTTAGGCCTCTTCATGGTTGAATCTAAAACATATGCAATGCAAC